TCAAAGAAATCCGAAATTGTTAATGGTATATTATTGATATAATTATAATAATCAATTGTGTTTAGAGATTAGTGACAAGTTTATGCCATGTCATATTTTTTACAAAAATATGTCATATTTTAAACCAATAAAATGAAAACAAATAAGCATTTTTACTAATTGTATTTCTCTTCTAATAGGAAGGTATTCAAATTTCAGGTAACTATTACAAAGAGACTCTTTTAAAAGATTTGAAATCTTTTGACTCCTCCTTCAGGTGCATGCTTATTTAAGGAATATTCAAAGATCGACTACAAATAATTCGAGTTTTGGTANTAATAATTGATTTTGGATGAATGACAGAAAAATGTTATTATATTTCGTAGCAATGCATGACGTGTATCGCACGTCACTTCTAAGAAGAAACAGAGCGTTTCTTACGATCACTACAAAACATGGTGGTACTGTTTTTATCCATCTTATCCAACACGTAGTGCGCAAGCAAATCATTTGACTCGACAAGATTCTCACGACACAAGAACTCATCTCCATAAAGCCTCAACGTCTCTGTAATAGTCATGAACAAACACATGAGTCTTCGGATTCCCGGCTGCCGTGAATCCGAAGCAAGAACGGCTGCCGTGAAAATCGACGACATCCTCCCCGGTCCTTCATGAGCATCGCCACGTGGTCCATCCACCAAGATCACATCCCAATCAAGATCGTAAACCTAATTTGCAATCGGAGAAGAGGAGATTCTGCACTGGACGACACTCGTTTCCAGCCGCTTCTTTCGCGGCCGCAACGAGCTCTCTGGCTTCTTGAGCTTTGGTCGTGTATTGAACGTCGAAAACGTCTATCTCCGGGTGGATTTCTTCGTAGTAAGCCGCGTAGTATCGGTTCTCCTCGACGAAGACCGTGCGGCCCTTGTGGTTTAGCGATTTCCAAAGGAGGGTTTCGTGTGTGAGTCCGAAGACGAGGAGATTACATGGCGGAGCGCAACGTCGGAGGAAGTCGGAGATTGATTTCATCTCTCCGTATGACATGTGGAAACTGTCGTTGGATCTTGAAGCGTAGTGAAGCAATGCGTTGATGNCACTTGTTGGTAGNTTGGAGTTGGGGTGAGAGATCATCGTCGGNGATGATGATCCTCCNGTGACGACGGCGGCTACGGCGGCAGCAACGGAGGTATTTTTGGAAGGGATAGTGTCTCTAGTGTAGAGGAGAGTGAGGAGAAAAACGATGGTTAAGAAAGAGACAAAAGCAAGAAGCCATAAACGAGTCGTGCTTGTTTGTTTTTGGATGCAAGGATGAACAAGGATTAGCTTCGTGTTCGTATTCCCTGATCCATTTTTCATTTTGTGTTTTCTTCTTTTGAAGATTTTTCAGAGGAAGAATACGATTGAAGGAATGCTTTAAGATTTTCTGAAATGGGGTTTAATTTAAAAGGAAGTGAGTAGTAAGTAGTTTTCATGAAAATGTGAACTATAAACAAATATTTGTATGAACTTGTGAGAGAAATGATAATGAAATATTTACTTTGTTGGAACCTATTGTACTAATGTTTTATTTATGTAAACGCAACATATCAAAAATAGAACCGTGAAACTTTAGAATTCAATATTCTCTCTAGTGTTTTAATTACTCGATTATGATTGAGAAATAAGTATTTGATTAGGATATATGAAGAACTTGGTTTACGTACATCGTAATTTTTAGACTTAATTTAACTTGATATTATTATTATTATATAATACGGATCATGGAGTAAGGTTTAAAAAAAAACGAAATTAAGAAGTATTTATATAATTGGTTATGGTTCGAGCAGATACAAATATTTATGTTTCCAACTATAATTTTACCAAGTGGTTGGTGGTCTAGTGATCTTTAAATTTGAAGAAAAATCTTTAAGGTCAGTAGTTCAACTCCACTTGGGAAGGATGATATACGTTTTAAACGTGGTATTATCAACGGCTAGCCCCATACACCGAAGAAATTATGGATCGAATATCCGGAACTCCAATGGTTTATTAAAAAAAAAAAACTACAATTTTATAGTATCATTTATAACGAAGGTGTGTGAGGTTGTTGTATGAATAAGTGTAAGAGTTTTGGTCATTGCGAGAGACACCAAATCTAATTACAGGCCAAAAGTCTCTGTCCCTTATTGCTTTGATTTAGCTCTTAAGGTTCCAGCCCAAAACTACGAGATAAAAAAACACACACACACATGATAAAAAAAAAAAGATATTAAATATAATTTAAAAATCATTTTACGTTCTCTCTGATTATTAGCCAACATTGGATTGGGACACTGAGTTCGTTCAAATATACAATAAATAGAATTTAGTCGTTTACATATATGGTGATCCGAAGTAGAAAGGAGGCACCTCTGGAGATCAACCTTAACTTAGTGTGTT